GTACCAAAGCACCCAGGGGCTGAGGCTTTCATTTTCATTTATTTCCTCACCACAGTGTTTCTTCTTTCTTTCTTTCTTGCTTGCTTGCTTGCTTGCTTTCTTGTTTAGGCTGGCTTTTGAACTCACTCTGCTGGCCTTGAACTCATGGATATCCTCCTGCCTCAGCCTCTCGAGTGCTGGGATTTCTGGTGTGCACTACCACACCTGGCCAGTACACCAGTTTTCTAAATTCTGAAAGGTTTGATAATGTGTGATGTCACATACCAAGAAGAGTCCCTGTGGCTACAGATACACGTACCTCACACCTTGCTTCTTACTGTCTGCCCTCCTAGTCCCAAACTTGAAGAATAACCTTCAAGTTTCCCAACAGTATTATCCTTCTCAAAAAAGAAATCCAGTGCTACAATACATTCGGAGTGTTTTCCAAAAATACCTGGAACACAGCATGTAGCTAAGGCGGTCTTCCTGCCTATCCTCAGTGTCTATGACGGTCTTCCTGCCTATCCTCAGTGTCTACGATGGCCTCTTTGCTCAGAGTTCCATGAAGGCCCTTGGATCTGCCCCATCCCCTACTGCAATGGAGGAGAAAGGGATGGAGGAGCCCTCTGGGGTGGGAGAGAAGGAGAAAGATGGGGCTGGACTCCTCACCCTGGCATTGTTGTGGGAAAAACAGAGTCAGCAGTAGCCAGGAGCTCAGGAGAAGAAAGGAGATTTTATTGACAGCAGACCCCAGAGGAGACCAGCCATTAGCTGAAGGCTATAATGAGTATCCTGTGGTGAGCATAGCTCTATGTAGCAAAGTTGTTTTTAGCATATTCACAGAAGTTTCAATTTGATGACAAATCATATGGGTTAGCTGATGTCAGTGGCAGAGACCAGAATGAGTGTGGCCTTATTGAACAAAATGGGGGTCGTTAGGCCAGGATTTCTGCTCCAGTGTCTCCACAGTCACAGGAGGCATCAGGGAGAACCGGTGGGGTCCCTCTTGCCCACCTCCCTCCCCACTCTTCTAACTACATTTTTTACATCATTAAAAACTCCGACTTTAACATGCTTCATGTTTCAATCTGTTGGCAAACTACATCTGTGGGAGATGAAGTGATTTCATAGTTGCTGGTGCCGAGTTCTTCTGAGAAGCTCCTAGTAGTCGCTGCCTCCTCCTTTCTGGTGTAACAAGACACCTCAGGTTCATTTGCGTATTGCTTTCCCCAGAACCTGGAACCAGACATTTCTCCAAGGAGTTCTGATTCTTTGAATAAAATGGCTATTAAAAGACTATATTGAATGTTGGAAGAGCCTTCATTCCTCCTTACCCTAGAT